CTCTCTCTCTCTCTCTCTCTCTCTCTCTCTCTCTCTCTCTCTCTCTCTCTCTCTCTCTCTCTCTCTCTCTCTCTCCCCCTCCCTCTCTTTCTTTCTTTCTTATTGTTTGTCGTTGATCAGATCAGCGTGGAAACGGAATCGCTCCCTGAATCAATCAACCCCCAAACATTTTTTTTGCGATCAACGCTAACGACCATGCTATACCACGTGATCTTTTCTCGATCAACCAACAAGAAGAAGAACATACCGATGTCCAAATCGAGAATACTCACCCAGTTTGGTGGAGCAAGTCGCATAGATGAAACAGGATATCTACTTCCAACGGGGTTATCTGGGACATCATTTGTGCAGAATACAGAAATTCCTCTAAAAGCAAAAATGAATTTCGATAATATCGACCATAAAAAAATCTACTAGTACCTATTTATTGCAGTAAAAATCTTGCATAAATCGCATACCTTTAGTAACTTCTTGATATCTATGGCCGTTGGTCGCGTTCAAGTAGATACGTTTAATAAGTTCCATGTTATTCAAAAGAGAGTTGAACGCCATAAAGTACGGAAAGCTGACTTTTCGCCCGCTTTGGCCGGCGCCAACTGCCTACAACACGTAAAAATAATTTTTTTTCACGCATATGCATCTATATATGTGTGTGTATATATGTTAACTGCAAGTATCGATAAATTTTAATATTATATGTCGATATATTTTAATATTATTTTATGCCGTCATCGGAAACTCAAACGCCAAGACTAATAATTATCAATTTATATCACAATAGAAATAATAAAAATTTAATTGCTTTCTCGCTGTAATACTTACAGCGATTAGATTATCTCTCACGTCTTTCGTCAGGAGATGACTCTTAATACTGAGCATGATGTCTTGAAAATCCAATGCGGAAATGAAACCTGCGCCATCCTTATCGAATTTCTTGAAGGCTTCCGTCGCGTATTCCTCGTGAAAGTCCTGAAGAGCAGAATTTTTTTTTTAATGGAATACATCACATTTCTATTCTATTTTTATACTGAACGATTACAGTTGCATATACATTCACATTACATTTTACATATTGTGATTACTTTTCTAACTACAAAACTGAAACTTTTTTTCAATCTCCAAATTTGGTCTCTAAAAATTTAATCTTATTCGTTAATAAAATTTTCGAAAAATTTCAAGAGGAGATTTGTATTTAGAGGTTTATAAAATACTCCTATGTTGCGTATGAAACAATTGACTCCTATGTTATATATAAAACCATTGCGAAAAGCGAAACAAACATAGAGCTCAATACATATGCGCATTTCATAATAATCACTCGTTATGTCATACACAGTTTCCAGTTTTGTTTCCTTGAAGTGGAAATAATAAGTGAGTTCGCAATCAGGCATGCAATAGAGAGACTTACGTGCAAAAATTGACTGAACTCCGCATAGCTGATCAGCCTCTTCTTATCCTTGCCAAAGTAAAGTTTGATAAAGCTACTATCCATATTAAAGGGCATCTTCTGGTGCAGCACAGTTTTCCGCATCACCTCAACGAACTCGTCTGCAGGATTGATTACAAGGCACATGAATATAAAGTGCGAGTAGATGATTCTAAGGAAAAATCACAATTTCTGCATAATCTTTACCAAATGCAACCATTCCATTTCCATTAGTGTCAAAGAGCTGAAAAGCTGTCTTGTATAGAGCGTCTGGTACACAGAGGAGACCTTCGAAAGCTTGAAATTCGGCAAACGATATGAGTCTGAAACGAGATCGAGTCAACTTCGTTCAGTGAAGAAGGGCGCATCGCGAAGAGAGCTTTCTCTTCTTTCTGTCTCATAAATTAATTCAATTTGTCTATAAGAATTAAATACGTTCTTACAGTGCTGTAAAGTTTTATACCATTATAAGATCTGTGCTTGGTTCTTAAAGATTTATTTTTTGTATTTTGTTTGTTGTTCATCAGAGCCTTTTACAGATTTTTCACATATTTCAATTTTGATTTAATAAAAATGTTAATATTATAATACCATTTTCACAGAACAGATATATTGATTTATTATATATTAACATAACTACATTATAAAAGATACACGCCGTATCGAATTTTGAGAACATGGAGTTCTACGGAATTTCGTTAGGAAGAACAATTTAAGGATCTAACTTCTCTTTTCAGAATTACGTTTCTCCTTGTCAGAGTTTCATGATCTTTACTTGACGATTGGCCAATGGTATATTCTACCAGAACATAAAGAGGAAGAAGAAACTTTGACGATTGGCCAGTGGAATATTCTACCAGAACATAAAGAGGAAGAAGAAACTTTTTTTATTTAAATTAAATAATGGAGATCACTTACCCATCTTTACTGGTGTCGACGATACCAGCAAGTAAACTGACAGAATCGGGATTATAATCGGCATCCGTGTAAAGGCCAAGATAACTGCGTACAAAGTCAGACGCGGTCATGAACCTCTCGCCATTCTTCTCCTGTGTGGCGTACTGCAATCCGCAAAAATTGCTGAATTATCGGATTTGTGATTTCGGGAAGAAGCTATTACATCATCTAAATACGGTGACGTCGCACAATGCTTGCGAATTAGCGGCTAACTTGAAATAAAATTCACTCGAGCTTCGGTCACTTACCTGGTTAAAAATTTCATGGAGGCGTTCAGTGTTCGCACGCTTTAAGTACCCGGAACCCTGAAACACAATACATCGTGGGTGAGTGACTTACTCTGCACACGCGACACGTTCGATGAGCTCCTCTTTTGGACAGTGTGACAAATATCTACGATAAAATTTTCTACTATCATTGGGACAAGCGTAAATCCAAATTGTTTCTAGCATAAGTAGAGACCGTAGACAACTAGTAAAGTTCTTTTAACAGTAAGCGAGACCACGGATTACATGTAATATCTCGAACATTCTTCCCGCCTTGTTGAAAAAGAAATAAAAAAACGTGGCGATCAGCGCGATCGATCAGGTTCGTCGTAGGTATGATAAATTTACAGTATCGTCCAAGTGCGGCGCTTATCTTATCTCCAACGATTTTTCTATTTCGTGTTACATATGCCTAGTGAGTAAATAGCTGTTGCTGTTTTGATCGACGCGCGGAATTTTCCGGCGGTCGGAGGCAATTCGCAAGCCAGCAAAGTGACTCGTGAGAGGGCGCGTCCGAGTCCTTTGGAAGTTTCAAGACACCTTTGCACGGAGAGAATTTTATAGTAAAAATTGTTGTGAAACTTTATAATCAAACAACATGCTAACATCTTGCCTTAATTTAATCATTTATCATTTTCTCATATGTGCTATTTATATTTCAGGAATATTATTATATTATTATTATAATTTCATCACTTTTATATGCGCCATTTATATTTTAAAAGCTGATATGTATTATTGGAAAATTTACTATGTGTACCTTCACGAGATAAACTATACTGAATCTATTCCTGTAGAAAACATAGCAAAATCGAGAAAAAATTTATGTGAAAAAACCTATAATATTCTCTCCATATATTTTCTATTTTGTGACACAAGTTGACACAAGCATCGTCACAGATAGGCTTTCTTAATTATGATAGAAAATTTACATAATCGATTATATAGAAAATTAACAATTCTTCTAATTACATTTATGAAATGAATATATTGATATATTGATACAATATATTGATATATTGATATATTATAAATTATTATGATATATTGATACAAATGTATTAAATTAATTATTAAGTTTACATCATACAATAATGTAAATTTTTCGTTGATTGATGCAGCAACAAATTTATACACACACACACACACACACACACACACACACACACACACACACACACACTCTCTCTCTCTCTAAAAATTATACTTAAATTTTATATTACATTTAACATGGCATACTATTTGGGGCATCATTTTTTCAGATTTCTCTCGTATTTTGGTTGCATCATTCTACATGATAAATATGAGTAATCTAATCAGCCAAAAATAGACTCAATGTTGCTGAATTTCGTGATTTATACTATAATTCTAGACAAAATCGTAAAGCTCATAACTTGTTCTCGTAAGACTCGTAAGAACTTATGAGTAGACGATTGATTCATAAGTTACGATTTTACGATTTACTTGTATATTTGCTTATAATTGCAGCATTAATACACAAAGTTACAATAAATTTTACGTAATCAGTCTATCAAAAATCATATTTTTGTTGCTGAATATGGGACAAAAATAAAATGATGCTCGCGCTAATTATTACTAAATAGAAACTACCTAAATTCCATATAAATTCCGATAGTGAAGCAATCGATTTCAGAAACAGCATGAAAACAAAAAAGTGAAAAAAAACTTTCATAATTATCATAAGATAATTGATGATAAAAATTTGACTATTTCTTTAGTGCATTTGTAGAATAAATGTGTATTAAATTAATTATGAAATTTACATGTATCACACAATGATGTAAAATTCTTATATTAATACAGCATACATACTCACATAACACGTAATATTACATAATATCACAATAATATTAAGTTCCGGTTAGTTTTGAGGGATTTCACAACAATATTAAGTTCCGGTTAGTTTTGAGGGATTTTGTGTAAAAAAGAAACACATATTTTAGAGAGACATTAAATTATTTTAATCAAAATATTTTCCACCGTTAGCTACAACTTTTCCCATTTTTCTGGTAATAAGTGGATTCCGCGATAAAAGAAATATTCGTCTTTCGAAACAATCCATTCATCGATCCATTTCTTTATTGCATCATATGTTTTGAAGTACTGGTCAGTAAGGCTCCATGTTGCATCAATCGAAATAAGTAATAATCTGAAGAAGCACAATCTGGTGAATACGCGTGTAGTAAGACTTCCCATTGAAATTCGGATAACGTATCTTTAACTGCTTTTGCAAGTGTGGTCGAGCATTGTCGTGCAACAAAATCACTTTGCGTTTTCTTTAAGCTGTTATTGGACGTTTCTGGTTCAAAGCACGATTCAAATCGATTAATTGTTGTTGATAAAACTCAGCAGTGACTGTTTGATTCGGTTTCAGCAACTCATAATACACGATGCCCTTCATGTCCCACCAAATATATAACAAAACTTTCCATGGATATTGCATTTTGGAGTCGATGTCGACGGTTGGCCTGGATCTACTCACGATCTTTTACGCTTAGGATTACCATAGTATATTCATTTTTCATCGCCAGTTGCAATTTGATACAAAAATTGCTTCTTTTTGTGACGAGAAAGCAATGAAGTGCAAATGGTTAAACGATTCTGAATAGCCAATTCAGACAATTCGTGTGGGACCCATTTGCCTTCTTTTTGAGTCTTTCCTATTGCATGTAAACGATCTGAAACGATTGATTTACCAACATTTAATGTTGTAGCTAATTGAAGTGTTTGAACTGAATTTTCATCCAACAATGCCTGCAATTCGGCATCTTCGAACTTTTTTGGTTGACCTGAACGTTCTTTGTCTTTCAAATCAAAACCACCGCTTTTAAATCGTCGATAACAATATTCACGTTTTAACTGATGGAGCAGACTCAGAATAAGTTTCTGAGATGAATCAATGAGTTTTGGCAGCTATTTCCTTCGAATCAAAACAAAGTAATAGATGCCGAAAATGCTCTTTATCACGTTCCATGTTTAGTCGCACTAAACAGTGTGTTTATGTTTACGAATGCACAGGACATGTGTCAATTTGTTTGTAGAAATGTCCTAGCTTTGACATGACATACCCATTTTCAAAATGTTTCCAGTGGATTTCTAGCTATAGCCATCTACAGTGAATCTTCAAAACTAACCGGAATACCTAATATTTCCGTAATATTGCAATATCGCAGAAATATTATGGAAATATCACTATGATATTGTATATATTACATGCTATATGGGTATTTATTGCAACATTTGCTTTCCGATTTTCATATCATATTTTATATCAAACATTGAGTAAATTTTCATAATTTCATTTGTGTATTTTTATTTCGTCATTCTTTGTGATAAATATGAATAAATAAATATAAATGAAGCAATCATAAGGGACACAACATTTACATATCGATCTCAAAAAAGTTTTTGCTAAGTTTATATGCATCTGTTTGTCTCGATAGATAGACTTTTATGATTGCTACAATGTGAGTCAGTCAATGATGGAATTTTTATAATTTTTTTCTATTATATTTATGGAGAAAATATGTTGCAATGAACTAATCATTAAATTTACATCATACAATGACGTCAATTTTTTATATTGATGCAGCAACAAATTTACTAAAAAAAATTGCTCTGAGATTTTTATATTACAATTTATGTTGCGTATTATATTGTTTTATATTGCGTTTTATATTACATTTTATATTACATTTTATATTGCGTATTATATTGTTTTTAGTAAATTCCAACTATTTATTTCGCCTTTCTACTTCGACATTGCCTGCGATAAATACGAGCGCCACCTGAGACAGTCATAAGGAATACATTCTTTACACCTCAACCTCAATGCATTGAGGAAAAGACTCGTAATTATTACTACATGTACATAAATAGAATTTATGTAAAAATTCAGTAACTAGTACCGAATATAATAATAACCAAATATGTAGGAGATTTAATGTACGAAAAACTTTTAATCACAGTCAAATGGACTAAAGATTTTTATAATAGCTACCAAATATTTAATATTACTAAGTATTTGATGATTATTATCGATAAATATTATATTTAGTAAATGTTATGAAATCATACAATTCTGATTGATGAAATATTTGCTAAGTATCAATATTTATCTTGTTATATAGTAACGAAAAATATTTGGTAATTATCAACCGTATTTATATTAATATATATATATATATAACCTATTGATATTGATCACATATCAACTGTTGTTTTCCAACATTTGCTAGTAAATATGGCATTCTATGTCATAATTCTTAAAAGTTATAAGGAAAGTTACAAGCGTGAGTACAAAGATATCGTCATAGCTTGTAGGATTCACCAGTTTCTGTTCGATCATGAGATAAAACATCAAATAAGTAGGTTTGTGAAAAAAGATGGGTAACTGCTACAGGAGTCGAATAAAATCACTGACGGAATTTCATGTATAAAGCGATAAAAAGCGTCTATGTAAAAAATAAAAAATACAGATATTTTAAAATAGAATTTAAAAAGTATAATGAAATTTTTTGAATAAAATAAAAATTACCTAAAACAATTCTCATCTCGGGCACAAGCTTTAGTAATAATTACCAAACATCTCATTTTCTGCTACCAAGATTTGCTATTAATTTCTATAATCTAGTTTGATGACCTAAACGTATAGTTCAAGCAGCTAAATCTTGGTTCTAAAAACTATACACATTTGCTTTATATAACTAAATTATTTCCTAACTTATTAATTATTTCCTATCACTTTATGTTTAGCCCGCATTATTTGACTGAATAATTTAGCAACAACTACCAAATTTTGGTATTTGTTACAAAATCCTTTCAGAGTAATTTCAGTAAAGCTGCTACCAAATTTACATCTGTCTATCTGGAAAATCACGCAAATCATATGAATTCCAAACGGGAATTCGCCGAAATAGGAAGGTCACCTCCCTCCCTCCCCCTCTCTCTCTCTCTCTCTTTCTCCCCGCCTCTGTGACTCACGTGCTGCCCACGTGTCCGTCACGTGAAGAGACACC